CCATCCTGGATGGGGCCAATTCCAATTGCTCCATTTCCAATCCAGCTCCCTGCTAATGCACCTGGAAAAGCAGTGAAAGATGGCCCAAGTCTTTGGGCCCTTGTATTCACATGGGAGATTCCTAGCTTCAGCATGGCCCAGCCCTGGCCATTGTGACCATTTGGGGAGTAAATCAGTGGATGGAAGATTTCTCTCTGCTTCTGCCTCTCCCTAACTCCACCTTTCATAAAAATAAATCTTCTTTTTTTTGAAATATTCATGTTTATTTTATTTTATTTATTTTTGACAGGCAGAGTGGAGAGTGAGAGAGAGAGAGAGAGAGATAGAAAGGTCTTCCTTTTTCCATTGGTTCACTCCCCAATGGCTGCTGCAGCCAGTGCACCATGCTGATCCGAAGCCAGGAGCCAGGTGCTTCTCCTGGTCTCCCATGCAGGTGCAGGGCCCAAGCACTTGGTCATCCTCCACTGCCTTCCTGGGCCACAGCAGAGAGCTGGACTGGAAGAGGAGCAACCGGGAGAGAATCCAGTGCCCCAACCGGGACTAGAACCTGGTGTGCCAGCGCCGCAGGCAGAGGATTAGCTTAGTGAGCCGCAACGCCGGCCATAAATCAATCTTTAAAGAAAAAAAGGGGCCAGCGCTGTGATGCAGCAGGTTAAAGCCTTGGCCTGAAGCACCAGCATCCCACATGGTCGCCGGTTCTAGTCCCAGCGGCTCCTCTTCTGATCCAGCTTTCTGCTATGGCCTAGGATAGCAGTGGAAGATAGCCAAATCCTTTGGCCCCGGTACCCATGTGGGAGACTCTGAAGAAGCTCCTGGCTTCAGATTGGCACTGCTCCGGCTGTTGTGGCCATCTGGAGAGTGAACCAGTGGATATAAGACCTCTCTCTCTGTCTCTGCCCTCTGCCTCTCTCTGTAACTCTATCTTTCAAAAACGGAGGGAGGGAGGGAGGGAGGGAGGAAATATCCCCTTCAGCAGTGGTTGTCTGATGTGGTTAAGATGACGCTTGGGAGGTATCATTTCATAATGACGTGCCAGGGTTCAAGTTCCAGCTCCACTCCCAATTCCAGCTTCCTGCTAATGTGCATCCTGGGAGGAAGCATGTAATAGCCCAAGTAGTTGTGTCCCTGTCACCCATGTAGGAAACCCAGATTGAGTTCCTAGCTACCGGCATTAGCCTAGCCCAGTCCTGGCTGTTGCAGGCATTTGGGGAGAACCAGCATTTGGGTCTTTTTTTTTTTTTTTTTTTTTTGACAGTCAGAGTGGACAGTGAGAGAGAGAGCACGAGAGAAGGTCTTCCTTGCCGTTGGTTCACCCTCCAATGGCCGCCGCGGCCAGCGCGCTGCGGCCGGCACACCGCGCTGATCCGATGGCAGGAGCCAGGTGCTTCTCCTGGTCTCCCATGGGGTGCAGGGCCCAAGCACTTGGGCCATCCTCCACTGCACTCCCTGGCCACAGCAGAGAGCTGGCCTGGAAGAGGGGCAACCGGGACAGAATCCGGCGCCCCAACCGGGACTAGAACCCGGTGTGCCGGCGCCGCTAGGCGGAGGATTAGCCTAGTGAGCCGCGGCGCCGGCCCATTTGGGTCTTTTTTTAAAAAGATTTATTTATTTATTTGAAAGGCAGAGTTACAGAAAGGTGGGGGTGGGGGGAGGGAGGGAAAGAGGTTGATCTTCTATCCACTGGTTCACTCACCAAATGCCTGCAAGAGATGGAGCTGGGCCAATCCAAAGCCAGGAGGCAGGAGATTCCTCTGGGTCTCCCACGTGGATGCAGGGGCTCAAGTAGTTGGGCCATCTTCCACTGCTTTCCCAGGCCACAGCAGAGAGGTAGATTGGAAGCAGAGCAGCCCAAAGTCAAACCAGCACCCATATGGGATGCCAGCACTGCAGGTGGCGGGCAGCCTTACCTACTCCGCCCCTGGAAATCTTTCAAAATTGTTATGATTGTACATGTGAAATACCATGGGCATTGGCTAGTATTTGAAAAGTGCTTCACAGTCAAACTTGCCCTTTTGTGTGTCTGCCACTGCAGCAGTAACATGCTAAACTGTTGGTCTGTTAAGGATGAGATACAGGTAGAGCAGAGCTGAGCCCAAACTGTATCAGCCAACTAGAGCAGGGTTACTGAGCCTGGTGAAATCAACAGGGCTGCCTAATTAAGCCCAAGATCATATGCTACCCAGTCACTCTATAGTATGATTTTTTAAAGTTAGTATTGATTGACTGGCAGAATGAAAGAGAGAGAGAAACAAAGATCTTTCATTCTCTGGTTCACTTTCCAAATGCCTGCAAAAGCTAAGGCTGGGTTAGTCGGAAGCCAGGAGACAGGAACAACACCTGAGACCTAGTACCTGGGTCTGCCTTCCCAGGTCCATTTGGCAGGAAGCTGGAGCAAAGTGAAGGAGCCATGACTAGAAATGGCCTTCTGATATGGGATGTGGGCACTTCCAGGTGGTAATTTAACCTGCTGTGCCATAATACCTGCCCCCACTCTAAATAGATTGTTGCTTTAAGTTATTAGGTTTTAGAACTGTTGGCCATTTGGAGGGTGAACCAACGGAAGGAAGACCTCTTTCTCACTGTCTATAACTCTCTCTCTCTCTTTCTCTCTCTCTCTCTCACTGTCTAACTCTTGGGTCCACTCTAGTTTCCCCTCTTGGGAACAACTATGGAATCCCTTCAGAACTACCATCTTCCACTCCACCCAAAACTCATGGATGCTTCTGTTACTTTGTTGTTTTATGACTGCAGTTACTGGTATTCAGATAAACTGACAAGTAGGGTCACGACTAAGGAAAGTCACACCAGGACCCTTTTTGCACAAAAGGTTAAAATGATGCCTAGGAAAAAAAATTTATCCTGAAGAAAGAAAGCATTAGGAACCCAGATTGGTGTAATAATAATGCCTAGAATCACAGCTGCTGGGGCAAAAAGTGGAGAAAGTGGAAGGTAAACAAAGTGCTTTCTCAAATTTTTAGATTTTAATAATTTTTGAAAAGACAACAAAATCTAATAAATGCCTGTATTCTCACTCTGTTTCCTTAAGCTTGTTTTTTATTCAAAGTTATGAGAAAAGATAAAAGTCCCTTTTAATAACTAGCCCCCTTATTAATCCTGTTTCTTCTCTTCATATATAATCAGTATCATGAATTTGATGTGACTCCTTTCAAGCCTTGCTACCTTCTAAATGTAACATTGAGTAAACCTAGTATTAGCTGGAAAGTTTATCTTCTTTTCTAGCTCCTAAGAACTCACATGTAGCTCCAAGAAGGAGAGGGGATATAAGCAAAAATTTAAATATGAGTTTTAGGGGAAAATTTATATACAAGATGTTGAAAGAACATGTAAGGAGGGGGCTGGTGCTGTGACCTAGCAGGAAAAGCCGCTGTCTACAATGCCGGCATCCCGTATGGACGCCAGTTCGAGACCCAGCTGCTCCGCTTTTGATCCAGCTCTCTGCTATGGCCTGGGAAAGCAGTGGAAGATGGTCCAAGTCCTTGGGCCCCTGCACCCATGTGGGAGACTCAGAGGAAGCTCCTGGCTTCGGATTGGCTGAGCTCTGGCTGTTGCAGCCACTCTTCTTTGTGTAACTCTGACTTTCAAATAAATAAATACATCTTTTTTTTTAAAGAAATATGTAAGGAAAGGAAAGGGATTTTCTCCATTTTAACAAAGCAACATTAGTGTAATGTAGGGCCAGGGTAAAATGATAAGACTTCAAAAGGAGACAGTAGCAATGCCATGAAAACTGGCAGACTGAAAAGGACAGTGGAAGCCACCAAAGTCAGTGGAGGTGGAAATGAGTTTGAGTCCTCGGGTTTATCACCCTCCTGAAGGACTTGCAGCAGTTCTGAAGAGGTCCAGAAGTTTTGGAGGGTAGGGGAATACTATTTATTATTGGTTTCAGTAATAAATAATAAATTGGTATCAATAACTAAATACTGCTTTGGTCTAAGTAAATGAAAACAAAATTAAATAACTCACAGTGCCTATAAAATATTAATACTAAACAAAGTATCTATCCTACTGTGAGAACTCCTGCTCTGGTATGAGACTGTAACTGGTTATACTTTGGGAAGAGGTATATGAATCATATTCAGTTTATCACTTCAGTGACCAGAAAACCTCAAGTTTTAAACTAAGACTAATTAGCACAATTCTCCTTGATGGAAGATAACATCACATTAGGTTTCAAATGAATACAGTAATTTTTCAAGCATAATTTTTAGCAAATAGTCAGCAATGAGACAGAAGCGTTTTCTGAATAAATGTTTGTAAATGTGTCTCCCACTTTAAGTAAAACTGAGTAAAATAGAGTGAATGCTTTTATGGAAAAGAACACCAAATGCATTTCTGGCGATAAGGGGAATTCTTTAGATGAACTCCATTATGTCCATCTCTCTTCCTGGGTATAATATGCTGACCATAGCAAATAGCACTGACTTACAGCAGGGTACAGTGATTCTGCTGCACTGAGGTAAAAGAGGTTGGAATTTAGAACAGCTAAAAGCAGAAATCTGCAGAGCAGGGCATTGGAGAGCAAGGGAATGGAGATAAGAAAGAACCCCAGAATTCCCTGGGGACTCTTCAAAATTTAGGAAGAGCTTAATAAATCACAAATTCTGGGCTCCACCCCCAGTGTCTCTCATTCAGTAAGTCTGAATGGAGCCTGACAATCTGTTTTTCTATCAACTTCTCAAATCACACCTTGAAAACCATTCTTGTTTAGCAAAAAAAAAAAAGACAGTGTAAGTTACATCTACATACTCAAACCTTTCTTAGGAGGCAGGAGGGAGGAAAGGAATATCACTATATTTTAGAATTGTATCTATTAACTATATAGACTTATAAAAACTAAACTAATTTTTTAAAAAGAAAAAACCTGACTCATTGATTTATCAAGGAATAAAATTATTTAGATATAAGAATAATGTGTAATTAACTTTAGACAACACCACTTAACCTCTATAATAGTAAAACGTAAGGCTTTAATGGCATACCTGTAGATCTTTCACATTTGGAAAGGGAATTCCTATTGTTATGACAGCACGGGCATTGTCATCTGAGAAATCCAGACCCTCACTCACTTTACCACGACAAACTGCTACCAGGAGGGCTCCATCTGAGGCAACAAAAATAAACATTTCAAAAAACATACTCAAAGTTTTTATAAGATGCTTACTCCTCTCATTTTGAAAAGACTGATTATTAAGTAACTATAGTAGCAAATTTAAAATAATCAAAATTACACTATGAGATAAAGTTTTGAAAGTTCATTATCTCTCAGTAAATACGGCAAATAAAATTACATTTAGATGGAATATGGCAATAAACCAGTTTTCAAACTGTAGCTCCCAGATAATTTATATAGCAAAACTATAAGTGATTGCAACTTGCGTATCAACTGAGCATGAACGAACCAACAGTTTTACCTTATAAAAACTACAGTTACAATCATTATCATTGCCACCAGAAAGTAACATTCTCAGAAAAATTTAAATAATTCTAATTTGTACTATGTATTGGACTAAATCACTATAATGTTGAAAATTATTTGAAACACATATACACAGAATAGTACAAAAAGTCAAAAATATGTGAAATCTGTAACCTTTATAAAAATAACTAAAACATTTTTTAAAGTCTTATAAAAACACAATGACAATTATGTTACTGTATATTATTGCACTGCTCCTAAAATACTACTATTAGTGCTTCACATGAATCTATGGGCATTCTCTAACCTAGAAATTGAGTCTCCAGTTATGTTTTTTTTTTTTTTTTTGACAGGCAGAGTGGACAGTGAGAGAGAAAGAGAGAGAAAGGTCTTCCTTTTGCCGTTGGTTCCACCCTCCCAATTGCCGTTGCGGCCGGCCCACCGCGCTGATCCCAATGGCAGGGAGCCCAGGGTGCTTTCTCCCTGGTTCTCCCCATGGGGGTGCAGGGGCCCAAGCACTTGGGCCCATCCCTCCCACTGCACTCCCCTGGCCCACAGCAGAGAGCTAGCCTGGAAAGAGGGGCAACCGGGACAGAATCCGGCGCCCCGACCAGGGCTAGAACCCGGTGTGCCGGCGCCGCAAGGCGGAGGATTAGCTTAGTGAGCCCCGGCGCCAGCCTCCAGTTATGTTTTGAAAACTCAAGTTTACCTAATTGAATAAAAGTACAGAATATATTATCTGCATCAAAATGTAGATTTCATTTGACTAGCAAGGAAGATATTTATACTTATCCTAGCTGCCTTCTTATATAAAATGATTCAGGAAGTATAATTTATGAATGCATGCTGTTTTTTTCTTTTTTTTTTTTTTTTTTTTTTTTTTTTTTTTTTTTTTTTTGCCAGGCAGAGTTAGACAGTGAGAGAGAGAGACTGAGAGAGAGGTCTTCCTTCCGTTGGTTCACCCCCCAAATGGCCGCTACAGCCGGGGCGCTGCACCAATCCAAAGCCAGGAGCCAGGTGCTTCTCCTGGTCTCCCATGTGGGGAGACGCATGACCCAAGGACCTGGGCCATCCTCCACTGCCTTCCCAGACCACAGCAGAGAGCTGGCCTGGGAGAGGGGCAACCGGGACAGAATCCGGCGCCCCAACCGGGACTAGAACCCGGGGTGTCAACGCCATAGGCAGAGGATTAGCCTAGTGAGCTGCGGCACCGCCCCACATGCTGTTTCTTAAATTGAATTGTTACATCCAAGTGAAAAATACTACAGGAGGACAATTACAAATAAAACAATTTTTTTATCCAACCTACTTTCTCTTTAGTCAGAAATATAAACTAATTTTTCTCTTAAGTGCAATTCATTTAAAATGTAACACAAGTAAAATTCTAATAGCACCAACTTCTTATTTTATGATAAAATTTTCACTCACTCTGAAATAGCTTCCAATTACCTTTTCCTCCTTTGTACTTGATTGCATCATAATACAGCTGTAGTAATTCATCAAAATCAGTTTTTTCTCCACCTTGCGGTTCTACAATGACTGTCTTCACCAACTCCAGATTATGCCATAAACCAGTGTATAGCCAACGTTCTTTTAATTTTTCTAATAGCTAAAAAAAGAAAAAAATTAAATGTTTCCTGTGTCCAGCTACGTAAACTTACATTTGTTTGTTTAAAGCTAATGTACCTCTAATGTGACTATGGCATGTGTATTAACCTTTGTATTTCCTCATCTATAAAATGAGAGAAACACTAACATCATACAGAAATGTCACTGGATTAAATTCATGAACAGATTAAAAGAAATACATAATAAGAGCTAAATAAATGTTAGCTGCTGCTGCTATCATTACTGTTACTGCCAACACTATTGCTACTGTTGTTGCTACCTTGATGATTTCAAAAGCAGGGGGGGAAACAACTTCTGTCAAAGCAAATGCATTTTATATTCTCTAGGTAAATCTAAGCTGAAGTTTCTTAACGAAAGAGTCAAAAATGAAGCTTCTTTAAGATCATTTTCTAGGGGCCAGTGCTGTGGTGCAGCAGGTTAAGCTGCTGCCTGAAGCACCAGCATCCTATAGGGGCACAAGTTCATGACCCAGGGGTTCCATTTCTGATCCAGCTCTCTGCTAATGGCCTAGGAAAAGCAGCAGAAGATGGCCAAAGTACTAGAGCCCCTGCCACCCAGCTCCAGATTAAGTTGCCTTATCTAGCAATGGCCATTGCAGCCACCTGAGGAGTGAACCAGTGGGTTAAAAATAACTCTCACTCTCTGTAATTCTGACTTTCAAATAAATAAATAAATAAATCTTTTTAATAAAAAGATCAGTTTCTAAATGCATAGGTGGCTAAGCACATTCTTTGAGACTGTGATCTGTCATGACTAAAACTGATAAAGAGGCTCAGATACCTTGTAAATTATAGAAAATATGTGCTTACAAATAGGACATGCCTAGAAATAACCAAAGGTGAGATTACAAAATGAATTTGAACAAATTTCAAACAATCTTAAACACACAAGAATGTTCACTATCAGATTAAATGTCAATAATACAGTCAGTCAAAAAAATCTAACAATAACACACATTCTTTAAAAATGTGAATTAGGAAAACAGTAGAAGTCATGAAATCTTTGATACAAATAAGAAAAGCACTATATAAAAATATGTGGGATGCAGAAAAGTAATAAGTGGAAACACACTTAAACCTTGGAATACATTTAAAAACTGTAAAAGAGAAATCAGAGCCATAGCACAGAGAGTTAACACCCTGGCCTGAAGCACCAGCATCCTATATGTGCGCCAGTTCGAGATCCGGCTACTCTGCTTCCGATCCAGCTCTCTGCTGTGGCCTGAGAAGGCAGTAGAGGATGGCCCACGTCCTCGGCCCCCGCACCCACGTGGGAGACCCGGAGGAGGCTCCTGGCCAAGGATCAGTGCAGCTCTGGCCATTGCCATCGATGGAAGACCCCCCCCCCTCTCTCTGCATGTAACTCTGACTTTCAAATAAATAAATCTTTAAAAAAAAAACTATAAAAGAATGAAGCATTCTTCCAAGAAGCTAGAAAATAAATAAAGCAAATGCAAAGTATATATAAATTAAAGGAGGTGAATTAATAGCCAAAGACAAAAGTAAAAGAAATTATGATGGTTCGCTTAATCATTTTACCCACTTGTTCTATGCCATGAGTTTTATGCAATACAGAGCAGTTATTTCAATGGAGGAAACTACAAACAAACCACTTAACATTCTCCAGGGAGAAGAAACTAACCAATTTTTACAAGATGGGTTGTTTTCTCTGAGTCTTACCTTTATCTTTTATAAATAGAGCTCCTTAAGAGCATAAAACAAATTTTACATTACTAATTAGCAAAATAGTTCACTGCTATACTTTAAGTCATCAGAGTTCTCTCATCAATAAAAACTGAAATATACCATAAAAAACAGGTTTTAAAAAAATAGGACTATCATTGATCTAAGTTTTGTTCCATTCTGAGTGGCTTACGAATGAGCTATTAAAGTTTCCTTTTATAATACACACTGTCTCTGAATCAAATTTCTCACCACTGCTTACAAAGTTTTCAAAAATTTGAACATATTCAGAGTAACTGTATATGGAAGTCATTACTGGGTCTTCCACTAGAAAGAAAAAATGGCTCAAAAGTCAATAATGGAGGCCAGCGCTGTGGCTCACTTGGTTAATCCTCCGCCTGCGGCGCCAGCATCCCATATGGGCGCTGGGTTCTAGTCCCGGTTGCTCCTCTTCAGTCCAGCTCTCTGCTTATGGCCTGGGAAGGCAGTGGAGGATGGCCCAAGTGCTTGGGCCCCTGCACCCGCACGGGAGACCAGGAGGAAGCACTTGGCTCCTGGCTTCGGACTGGTGCAGTGCCAGCCATAGTGGCCACCTGGGGAGTGAATTAATGGAAGGAAGACCTTTCTCTCTGTCTCTCTCTCTCACTGTCTATGGCTATACCTGTCAAATAAAAAAAAAAAAAAGTCAATAATGTTCAGAATAATTTCTAAGAGATTTATTTACTTATTTTAAAGGCAGAGTTACAGGGAGAGATCATCCATTCCTGGCTCACTTTCCAAATGGATGCAGTGCTCAGCCAGGCTGAAGACTTTCATCCAGGTCTTTCACATGGGTGAGGGCCCAAGCACCTGGGCCATCTTCTGCTGCTTTCCCAGGCACATTTGTAGGGAGGTGGATCAGAAGTGGAGCAGCTGGGACACGAACTTGTGCCCATATGGGATGTTGGCATCACAGGAGTCAGCTAAGTCCGTTAAGCCACAATGGCAGCCCCCAGAATAACCTTTAAATTATTTAAATTTCTCTTGAATAATCAGTTAGAAGAGGATAAAAATAGTAAGATGATATAAAACCAGATGGAGTGTGTGATGAATTTGCATAACTGTTGATACCTAGTAGAATTTAATACAATGATATATATACTCTTTTTTTCCCTCCATTTGAAAACATAGGTAAGCTCTCATCTTAAATTCCTTGATCCTGAGATAACAGCTTCCAATACTGTAGGTTACAAATGTTCAAGATCTGTTACTTGGGTAACACCGTTATGCTGATGATTCCAAAATATATTCCACATTCGGATCAGAAGAAATCTATTAAGTAGGAAACTTTGAAAATAATAAAGAATTGGTTCAGTATACAAAGTTGCCCCTAAATAAAGGCAGCAAGGATTTTCTACCCTCACTATATTGAAAAGAATTTAGAATATCAGAGTTAAATGTGATTTTTAAAAATTTAGAGGGGAGGCCGGCGCCGCGGCTCACTAGGCTAATCCTCCGCCTAGCGGCGCCGGCACACCGGGTTCTAGTCCCGGTCGGGGCGCCGGATTCTGTCCCGGTTGCCCCTCTTCCAGGCCAGCCCTCTGCTGTGGCCAGGGAGTGCAGTGGAGGATGGCCCAGGTGCTTGGGCCCTGCACCCCATGGGAGACCAGGAGAAGCACCTGGCTCCTGGCTCCTGCCATCGGATCAGCGCGGTGCGCCGGCCGCAGCGCGCCGGCCGCGGCGGCCATTGGAGGGTGAACCAACGGCAAAGGAAGACCTTTCTCTCTGTCTCTCTCTCTCACTGTCCACTCTGCCTGTCAAAAAAAAAAAAATAAAAAAAATAAAATAAAAAAAAAAAAATTTAGAGGGGAGCAGAGATTAAGATGGTGGAAAGGGAAGGAGCTTACTGTTCTAGTCTAGAAGATAGTTTGAAAAAAATGGAGAGAGTCCAGTTTCAGGGAAGAGTTAGGGAGAAAATGGCAGAGGAAACTCCATGCAAATTAGAGGGACACAGTGGACCTACATGGAAGGTATGGACACCCACAACTCAGGACCCAGCAGCCAAGAGCGTCTGCACCAGTGTCGGAGAGTGTGGGTTGAGCCAACAGATAGAAGACCTTTCTTTCTATCTCTGCCTCTGACTCTCTCTAACTCTGCCTTTCAAATAAATAAACAAACTTGTGTAAAAAAAAGAATAAGAAACAAACATGACGCCCCCAAAAGAATACAACACTTCAGTTCTAGATTATGAAGATGAAGAAACTGAAGAAATGCGAGAAAAGGAATTCAAAAAATTGATCATAGGGTTACTTAGAAGTAATCAGAACCAAATGCTCAAACTAATGAAATCTATTTATGACATGAAAGAAAATTTCTCTCATGAAATTGTGATCTTAAAGAGAAAGCAAAATGAAATCTTAGAAATGAAGAATTCCATAGAACAAACAAAAAGTGTTAAAAAAAGACAAAGAAGGGGACTATGTAATGATTAAGGGATCAATTCAACAGGAAGATGTAACTATTATAAACATATATGCATCTAATTACAGGTCACCTGGCTATTTAAAAGAAATGTTAAGGGATCCAATGGGAGACATGGACCAAAATACAATAGTAATGGGGGACTTCAATACCCATTTTCAGCAATGGTCAGATCAACCAGACAGAAAATCAGCAAGGAAAACGGCAGAGTTAATCAACACTATAGACCAAATGGACCGAACAGATATCTACAGAACTTTCCATCCTATAGCCGAGAATACACCTTCTTCTCAACAGTGCATGGAATTTTCTCTAGGATTTACCACAAGTTAGGCCATAAAGCAAGTCTCAGCAAATTCAAAAAAATCTAAATCATACCATGCATCTTCTCAGACCACATGGAATGAAGCTATAAATCAGCAACAGAGGAATCTCTAGAACATATGCAAAAACAATGAGATTGAGCAACATGATACCAAATGAACAGAGGGTCAATGAAGAAATCCAAAGAGTAATCAAAAAATTTCTGGAAAAAATTGAAGACAACAATGCAACATATCAAAATTTATGGGAGGCCGGCACCGTGGCTCACTTAACTAGTCCTCCGCCTGCGGTGCTGGCACCCTGGGTTCTAGTCCTGGTTGGGGTGCCGGATTCTGTCCCGGTTGCTCCTCTTCCAGGCCAGCTCTCTACTGTGGCCCGGAAAGGCAGTGGAGGATGGCCCAAATGCTTGGGCCCTGCACTCGCATGGGAGACCAACCAGGAGGAAGCACCTGGCTCCTGGCTTCGGATTGGTGCAGTGTGCCAGCTGTAGGGGCCATTTGGGGGCATGAACCAA